CCCCAAAACCCCAAAACCCCAAAACCCCAAAACCCCAAAACCCCGTCTATGAAGTAGAAAATTGAATATTAGAATTATAAAATTAAATCTAAATTCAAATATGAAGACTATCTGGACTCTAGCCTTGATAGCCATGCTCATAGTCGGCCTAGTAAGAGCCGATGTGGAAAAAGCAACAACTGCCGATGATGTCAGCAAGTTCTTGGAGGCAAACCAAAACAATGTTGCTGCCCTCTTCTTCTTTGACAGCAGCCTCAACGAAGGAAATGAAGGTGGATTCTGGAGCGGAGTAGTCACTTCTGTGAGTCATATCTTCAGCGGAGAGGACAATCTAGTTAATGGCGAGCATCAAGCTTCAGAGATAGAGCAAAAAATCAGTGAGGAAGCTGACCTTTTGCAGATAGATGTCAGCAATGAGGACTTACGTGAACTCCAAGATCAGTATGAAGTTACAACTATTCCTTATGTCATCATCTATGACAAAGGAGTGTTAGTTCTGAGTGAAGTGCTCAACCCAGACACACACGATAAAGTTCTCGATATTCTTCAGATCAAATCTAACGAAACTAATTCACAAAGTGAAGAAGCTCTTGTAGTTCCTGAGGAGAATACTTCTGAAGTGAGTGCTTCTGAGGTAAATACTTCTGAAGAAGAACCACCTTTATTAATTCCTGAGGCAGTTCCAGCTACTATCGAAATCACTGATCCTGCTGTTGTAAAGCCAGAAGTAGTAGCCGTCAGCCCACAAAAAGTGATCATTACAACACCTAAAGTTATTCCTCCAAGAGTTACTATCCAGAATCCTCAAAAACCAAAGGCTGTAACACTTGCTCCTGGAGAGACTGAAAAACCAACTCCTCAATTACCAAACCAAGATCCAAGAGTGACTTTAAGAATTCCTAGGAATTATACTGAGCCAAAGGCCAAATCTGAAGACTCTTCCTTCATCAAGCACAAATGCCACGACATTACCCATCCAAAACAAGTTCCAAGAGGATCTCCAGGATACATCGCTGAGCTTGAAGATTACCAAATCCCAGAGGAGTGGTGGGAATATGGATATTCTCCAATCACCGGAAGCAATGCTGAAGAAATTAATTACAGCCGTAACGTAAAGTTCTTCGAAGCCGAAAACATCACTTTTGAACCAACCCAGTACAAATCTCCATTTATGTACAATCATTATCCTTACACTGCTCCAGAGATAGTGACTCCAGAACCATTCACTAGAGAAGAATTCTTGACTCCTTCTAGACTTACCAAGGATGAAGAGCCAGCTCCTTATAGAGTCGCTAGAGAGGAATTCATCAGAACCCCAGCTGGAATTATCAGAGAAGAATATGAGCTCCAAGATGAACTATTATATTACCCAGAAGTAATTGAAGCTCAAAGACCTTCTCTTATCCAAGCTAGAATTGCTGAAGCTAACGCTGAGGCACAGTTTGAGGCAGGAAGACCAAGAAGAATTTTCCCTCAAGGAAATCAGAGATATGCTCAATTTAGCAACACCACTAATGCTCCTGCTGCTCAACAACAAAAACCAGCCGTTCAGCAACAGAAACCAGTCGCCCAACAACAAAAGCCTGCTGCTCAACAAACCCAAACAAAGCCAGCTGCATCTAAACAAGAAACCCCAAAAAGAATTTATCCTCAAGGGAACCAGAACTACACCTCTTACCAACAAAAGCCAGCTGCTGTAACTGCTACCAAACCCTCTCGAGCTCCTAATTCCTCATCTCCTGCACCTAGAGTCACCAAAACTGCACCTAAAGCTACAGCCACTGCTCCAAGATCCAAAGCTACACCCAAAACTCCAAGCTTACCAGCACAGCCAAGGCCTGCTGCCCGAAGCACTCCCACTAAACCAGCTAAGCCTACTCCAAGATCTGCTCCTGCTCCTGCCCCAAGAGGCCCTGCTCCTGCCCCAAGAGGCCCTGCTCCTGCACCAAGAGGCCCATCAGCTGCACCAAGAAGCCAAGCTCAAGCTAGTGCAAAAGTCTCAGCTCCTCTAAGACCAGGTATTCCTTTGAAACCAGGATCCCCATCAGCATAAGATATGAAGAAAAGAATTTCAGTTAAAATTTATTTTTGGGGTTTTGGGGTTTTGGGGTTTTGGGGTTTTGGGG